ATTGGCATCCTTGTCCGATAATCCTTTAATCCTTCATAGAAAAACCATAAGGGTCAAACTCAACGGACACAAAGTTATCAGTAGTAAACTTTCTACCAGAGATTAGATTCTTACTGAGTTTAGGGACATGAAGGACATTAGAGAGAGACAAAGGTGGGTTAGGGGATGAAAAAGTAGTATGACTACAACCACGAATAGGAATTGTATGACTATTACCAACAACAATACTATTATGATGATTGCTCAAATTAAAATAAGACGAGAGATTACCATTGGAGGATGTCATGTGAGAAGTGGCACCGGTGTCCATGTACCACGAGGGATTGGGTTGGCTCACTGTCATGGTGTGCATAGCCGATTCAATATCCGTTGGAGCATAAGACATCGATTGTTGAGAAGCTGCATAAGCATGTTGAGGCGTTTGTCCAAGGATACCATATTGTTGTTTCGGTGGGCCTTATGGACGAGCCCAACCTTGAGTTAGGTAAGGGCAAGGGGGAGCAGCCCATTGAGGCCCCCACCCAACATTACAAGGAACGCGGTACGGTGCCACGAATCATGAACTGATTCGTGCGAACCGGAACGCGGAACAAACGCGGCCTGAGTCGCTAGTGGTCGCGAACCAGAACGCTGAAGGTGGCGACTCCTAGTTGTGGCTGATCAAAGACGATTGTTCTTCCCCTACAACTTCTAATGGGTTGTTTCAGTGCAATATTCTCTCTTTCTTCTTTCACGTGCATTAGCTTATTTAATTTCTGAAATTTTTTGACTTTTTTCTCTCTTCTCTCTCATGTTTTATATAGCAGTAACATTTTACTAGGGTGACGGCTAGGGTTTTGTTTCAATTGGTGAATGGGCTTAAACCTCTATTTGGCCTTTTTTTTATTGAGCAACTTGGGCTTTTTATTTTATATACTCTAATTTTTAAGCAATCCACTCACCTAAATACATATTTTATGGAGGAGTTGTTATATAGTTGTATTTATTTTAATTTCTAATATAAAATCTATTAACAAAAATCACCTATATTTTTTTTATTAATTTACTATTTCGTACTCAATCGTACCGGATTCACCACGGGTAGCGTTACGCGTATTCGTTTTCGTACCACGTTTCAAATCGAATCGTGTCCCTTGTAACATTGACCCAACCCCAAGGAGGACTCGACCATTGCTGCTGCTGTCCCCAAGGAGGAGTCATCCACTGCCGCTGCTGCTGCCTGGACCGGCACCACGACATGCATCGCCGGTGCTCTGCCGCCACCGGCTCCGGAACCACCGCGGTTCCCACCGCCACCGTTTTGCTTCCGACCACCATTTTTCTTATGGTTTTTATTTTTCCCACGAGCAATACCCGAACCATCATGCCCATTTTCTACGTCTCGCGAAGAACCAGCCACCATAGTAGATGCCAAGGTTGTTGTAGCTCGCTTTGCCAAGCACGCCTCCTCCAAGGTAAGCATCGATCGGGCTTGGTAAAATTGAGGGAGAGGGTTGCTTTGTCTAATCAAGGTAGCAACACCATTGTATGGTTTCGTAAGACCGGAGACCAATTGGAGAACAAGGCGGTTATTACCGAGGCCCCTTCATTTTTCAATTGATCGGAGAGGCTCTTAAGCCGCTCACAGTACGTTGAAGCATTCGGGAAGTCCTCCATTTGTGTATTCGAAAATTCATGCTCAAGGGTGACTTCACTTGAGTTTTGGTTGTCTTGGAATATATCCCTCAACCATCCCGAGCCTCCATTGCGGTAGAGTCAGGTTCAATAGTAGTTTGCAACAAGTCATGAGAAATCGTGGAATAAATCCACGAGAGGACAGCCGCATCTAAGACCGACCATAGTTCTTTTTCCTCGTTAGTGGAAGGGGTAGGGACCTTCTTCTTTGGAGAAATAATATGGTGGAGAGAACCTTGTGGGAACGAGCATGAATTTTGAAAAGCTCCGCCCATGTAGAGTATTGAACATTCTCCATTTCAAGGGTAATGGGAATGCTAGTTTTGATGTTAGTGACAGTCATAGCGGGATGGAAAGAACTCTTAGAGTCTGCCATGGCTGCTGTCCACAGGAAGATGAGAGAAGAAAAGGAAGAATAGAGAGGGGCGGAACAATTAGGGTGCAGCGCAAAACGCCCTAGACTGCTCTGATACCATAAAGGAATATAATCCGTGAGCTTTCTCATATACAAAATACAAAGCTTATCTTAAGCCACTAATTATGCTACAAAATAGGCAAAAGCTAATTACAAAATATTTTAGGCTATAACTATGGTAACCGAATTATTTACATTGACTAGAAGAGATATATTGTCGGGGCACTACAGTACCTCACTTTTACAAGACTGGATATTTTCTACGCCGTGCAACAGGTATGCTTACACGTGCATGATCCGAGAGATTGTCATATGTTTGCTCTTAAGCGGATAATTCGGTACATACAAAGTACTCTTGAGCATGGTTTGCATCTTTATCCATCATCTATTTCTACACTTATATCCTATATTGATGCTGATTGGGGTGGTTGTCCCGATACGAGACGATCTACTTCTGGATATTGTGTAGTTTTGGGTGATAATTTGATCTCTTGGTCATCTAAACGCCAGGCTACTCTTTCCAAGGCTAGTGCACTGGTAGAGGGGTGTTGCCAATGTCGTTTGCTTGTTGGATTCGAAATCTTTTGTTAGAGTTACATTGTCCAATCAAAAAGGCGACTTTGGTGTATTGAAACAATGTGAGTGCTATTTACCTTTTGGGTAACCCGGTACAACATCAACGTACCAAACATATCGAGATGGACATACTTTTTTGTTCGTGAGAAGGTGGCTAGGGGTGAAGTTCGAGTCCTACATGTTCCATCTAGGCACCAAATTACGGACATTTTCACGAAAGAACTACCATGCATAGAAAAAAAATCGCGGTCGCGGAAACGGACGCGTTGTCGCGGAAGCGGCTTGTAACGGTCAAATAGAACGGTTCGCGGATTTCGCGGTGTGATTTTTTTCCAAAAACTTCACATAAGTCTTTTTTTGAGCTTTTAAATACATTTTTATTTATTTAAACAATATTATTGCCAAAACTACTTTACATACAACCCAATATATGAGATATGGCATTTATAAATTTATTTTACCATTATTTGAGCTTTATTTTATGTTACACTCAAATAAAATAAAAGCTACAGTCAGCAAAGTGTAGTGTATACTTTGTAATACTCCAAAGTCCAAACAGAAAGAAAAGTCTAACCCTTCAAACCACAAATAAAACATTAAAATAAAAAATAAAAGAAAAAGAAAGAAAGAATTGAGAAAAGGGCACGTGATAAGAAAAGTAAAAAGGTAAAAAAGAGAAAACAAGCAAGGAAGCCAGCCGCATGCCCGTATCAGAGAGGAGAGAGAAAATAGGACCTGCAAATAGTCATCGCCGGGAAAGAATTTTGGCCGGAGTACAAACTGCTTTCCGCTCGCCTAATTCCCACGACTAAAGGCCCCAATATCTTTCTTTCTTTTATGGCTAGTCTAGTTGTTAATCAGTAGATCTAGGGTTTTATTTTCGAACCTTAGATCTGGAAATTAGGCTGAATATGGATCGAGTTTCTACATTTAATGGCCGCTACAATTATAGAACGGTTATATAACGCCGTTCTACCGTTACGCCGTTCTACCGTTACGTAACGGCCGTCGCGGCGAGTTGGGTGTGATTTTCAATGCGCCGTTATATAACGGCTTTTTGCGGAACGGTAAGTCCCAAACCCGTTACAAAGCGGCCGTTATAGAACGGAACGACCGCTTTTTAATTCCATGCGTACCACGTGTATTTTAAGGATATTCTAAGCGTCCGTCTGCCTCCCGCTTTGACTAAGGGGGTGTGTTAAGATATATTAGTCATAATATATCTTTTGGTCAATGTAAACATATCGGTTACCATAGTTATAGCCTAGAATATTTTGTAATTAGCTTTTGCCTATTCTGTTGCATAATTAGTGGCTTAAGATAATTACAAAATATTCTAGGCTATAACTATGGTATCTGAATTATTTACATCGACCAAAAGATAATGTATAGTGTCAAATCAATTACTCTGTGCTTAAATATGCCTTTTGTACTTGTTTTTTTGAAGATGAATAAATGTTAGTGAATTTTGGTTGATTAAAAGTGAATAAAAAAATAAGATTGTAGGGTTTGCATGATTAAGGCTCTGTTCACTTCAGCTTAATTTCAATTCAGTTCAGCTCAGCTCCAATCAGTTCAAGTTCAGTTTAGCTCCTAATTGTCTTCTCTCATAAAATATTCAGTTCAGCTCCAATCAGTTCAGTTCAGTTTAGCTCCAATCAGTTCAGTTCAGCTCAGTAAATGTGAACAAGCCCTTAAAGTGAATAAAGAAATGGATAAGGTAAAATAAGACTTATTTAAGGATATTTTTTTTGGATAAAACAGTACTTTTATTTGGGAGGTTAGGGAGTATTAAAGCTCTGAGCTTAATAGGAGTTCATATTGTTATTGCAAAGAGAAACTGGCACTAGTAATGACAAAAGGCCGGACTGTGAATATCAGTGAGCCGCAGGCTATATCTGTTGCAAGGATTCTTATTTAAATATTGACCTATAGGCTATAAATCATAATTTCATACGAAGTAGTATATGTCTTTTAAATTGAAAATTCACTGTGGGAGTTTGCAAACTGACCTTTTACTAACCTGTTTCGTTTATAGCTTTAGAGAACTGTGTCTGGTCCAGACATTTAACAACATCAACTTGATTTTCAGCTATTGTTGCCGTTATAGAATTTCAACTGTGTTTTAAGGTTGCCTACTTGCTTAAGACATTATGTGGTTATAGAATCTCGTTCACTGTCATTTATGCAGACAATTTTATTTAGTTATCTGTTGTCAATTACATCATGTGTGGTAAAATTCTGGTTACAATTTGCATCTTCTGCTAGCAAACTAAGTATAACAATTTTTCTCTCTCTCTTTTTATCAGAGTAATTTAAATTTTTTATGGAACAGAGCAAATCCTGTTCAAGCTGGATCTCAAGCTGAGTTCTCTCAATGGCTATGTCATGTTCATAATGTTGTTAACAGAAGGTAAGAAACGTGTTTGTATAATTTGGCAAAATATTCTTTTGCAGGCTGGTAAACTTGTGAGTAGTTCTAAACTTCTAATTTTAAGCGTCTGATATATGCTGTTAAAAGGATTACAGGTTCTGATACTATTAGGCTGATTGATAATCTGATCTTGAATATGACATACAAAAAACTATTTTTCTTAATTGCTGAATCTTATGTATCGATTGCATTTCTAATTACTGACTAGCTATAAGCCTATGACTAAATAATCTTTATCACAGCGTATGTGAAACTACTATTCAAGACCAATTTAATATAAAACTCAAAGTCTAATTTTAGAATTTTGTGACGGTAATCTTAATCCTTTTGAATAGAAGACATATTACTTTGTAGAAGTGCTTTTAATTCTATTCTTTTCATCTTATTTTGTTCAACAGCCTAAGCAAGCCCATATTCCCTTGTGAGCGAGTTGATGCTAGATGGGGCAAGCTGGACTGTGAGCAACGTCTGTGTGATTTACAGGGAACTACAACCTTTGGGGATGACATCTGAGACTATTCAATCTTCTTTTGTTAATATCAAGATTATCTTGTATGACTGATTCTTATATACTATTTGGATTTCTGAGGTTACAAGAGATGAAACTAGTTCTTCCCTACACAACGATTTGGTCCCTCTGAGTTGCATAAATGCAACTTAATGGGTTACTTTATATTCTAAGGAAATTTTGCAAACAAGTGCCAATAACTTATTCGTTTTGGAAATAACTAAAAAAACCGCAGGGTTTTTCTACATGGTATCCTTGAGGTATTTACTTTAATATGTTGTAGTCCTTCAATCTTGGTTCCATGTGGTACCCTCAGGTCCATATAGGAACCATGTGGCACCCTTGCTGTTATATAGACGTTAATGAATCCGTTAGTTTTTGTGTAAAGCTGCCCTTACTGGCTAACTGCCACTACCATCTCCAAAACCAAAAATTGCCTCAACCACCAGATTTAAACCACTACTACCACCTCCTTAAACCACATCTGAACTTTAAAACCACCACTATCACCTCATGAATCCATCACTATCAGTTCTATCACATTCTTAAACCACCAATAAACGACAAAATCACAACCACTTTTGCTAAACTGTCATAAACACCATCCCTATATCACACAACCACCTCTAAAACTTCCTGAATCAGGAAAACCACCTCCAAAACAGCTGGGTTTTTGTGTGGGGATAGGTTTATAGGGAGGTGGTGGGGGGGGGGGGTTTATGGGTGGTTTTTGAGGGTTGTTGGATGTGGGTTGGTTTTGAAGTCAGTGGGGCTGGCTTTCAAGGGCGTGCGAGAGGAAAGGAGGTGGCGATGGTGTTTTGAGGGTGTAGATCATGGTAGGGGAGGAAGGAGAAACAGTAAGCCAAGCGACCATTTCTCATAAATCAAGATCCAGGGTACATGTGGTTGCTTTTATTTTTAGAGGGGAGCGGGGGGATTTAGAAGTCCAAATGTGAAGGTCCTAAGTCGAATTCACCTCTTTTGACCCAGCCGCGGGACTTGGCCCACCTCGACCCTTACTTGTGCCGATCTTGTGTCACACCTACTCAACCCATGAACCATCTAGCTCGATCTTAACACACCTAGCCGGCATAGTTGGCCTCTTGGTTATAAGTTTGGGTTTAGGTTGACTTGACTTGATTGTGATTCATTTATTATTTTGGTGTACATGAGTTTTTTTTTTAAAAAGCAAGAGTAGAATATTCAGGTTGTTTTGGGTTGATCAATTAATATTTGATACTCGACTTTGAGGGTAATAACATATGCAGACATGCTTAAGATGTGAACTTGTTTAGTTAGACTATCACAATTGAGACTCGCTTGGGCTCGATTTCGGGTTAGCACATTTAATTAATCGGTTAAAAAAAGATCAACGCAAACCCGCTATTTTCATGTTAGGTAAACTTTTGTGCACCCTACTCTGAAAGTCTATTACATCGTTTTATACTGTTACTGAAAAGGATTAATCGTAATTCATAAGTTTTCGCACCAATTGTCCAATTCACAATGTTGTTATTCATGGGGCAGTTTGGCATTTGATTGAACAGCATAATGAAGAAACATCGAACTGTCATATATGACTGCCTAACAAACAGTTCAACTTACAAAACAACTAAATGCTAAAAACAAATCATGGCGGTCCCCATTTATCCGTTATTCATAAAAGAAAAACAAAATTATTCCATGTTTAATAATTAGGCTTTAGATTATTTCAAAAAAAAAAAATAAAAATAATTAGGCTTTAGATAAGTATGTTAAAATAAAATAAACGAAATTTCCATCCTTTTTTTAGGTTTAAGTAAGTCTGCTTAAATGAAATAAACAAAAATGAACAATGACAATTTATAAGCTAGAAAGTTTCAACAATGAGAAATAGAGAATATCAAAATTAATATAACATTGACAACAAGCTATCCCTAAATATTTTTAAGTTAGAAAGTTTCAGCATCTGGTCAATTTAAGCACAACCTAGCTACGAAGCTCCCTAATCTTGCTGTGTTCTGTTAGCTTAAAGTACTCTACCATGTTATGAATTATTACGTATAACCGAACCCTAGGATGAACTGCCAGCCCCGGTGTCTTCCAACAGCATGCATTCCATCGTGCGAACTGGTGGAGCTTCTCCAAATTTCAGTAAGTAAGCAGTTTCATATGCAATGCGCAACTGTTGAATGACTTGAGCATCCAAGTATGCATCACAAGTGAAACACCAAACTGACAAGTCACTGTCGGGCAAAAAAATAAAAACACAAACAGAAAAATTAGCTGCCAATAGTTCAACCATGTTTTGTCTCTTGATCCCCAGCCTGCCCAGATTATCACATTATTTTACACGGAAAAGAAAAGGAATTAATGCCTTCCAAGAAGCAATAATGTGAGACTTAAGTTATCTTAATTACAGTTTTAATTTAAATATTTGTTTATGCAGATTTTGTTGACATTGATGCATATGATTTGACATGTAGTAATTTGGTGACTAAAAGAATAGAGAAAATGCTAAGAAGTACCTGTAGCTAAGGGCTAGACAGTGGCCTTTCTGCTCGTAATGCTCAAGCATGTGCTTATTTATGAATCGGCTACAAAGGACATCCTTACAGAACAAGCATACCCAGTTTTCAGCAGGGTGATGACACCTTAAAAACAGAAACGACAACTGTCAACAGCTGCTAAGAATTTTTAGGACAAGGTTCAATACCAAACTAAAAATTTGTACTTCAGCACAAAGCTTGATATATACACTTCAATACCAAAATGTCTATTAAATAGACTCAAGACCAAACTAGAGAACAATAGAAGAGGCACGGGTAAGATTAATTTCTATTATCAAATTAATGTAAACTTAACAGAAACTTATCTAGAAAGGGATAAAGGTAAAACAACACAGAAGACAACATCATAAATTAGGTCTGATTCAAGTAAATGAATGCCTCTAGGCAATAGTGTTGCATCAATTTCTTGTGGATTGGACTTCCTATTTGGTATCAGGCTAGCCAGAAGTACCATAGGCCAGAATGAATAGGATTGAACTCAAACAGCAAGCTTCCCAAAATCCAATGGATGGAAGATGTTAATGAAAGGAGTTAGAAAAGAAAGCAAAATAGAGAACCTAGCAAATAAAGAATAGCTTCCATCATTGACATCTAATTTTTATGCAGGTATAGTACTCAAAGCTTTCTTAAAAAAAATACTTTAAGGCCTTTTTGTACTTACAGCTCTTTCTTGTGGTCTGCTTTTTAAGATTAACTCACAAACACACTAAAGACAAATACTAAGGAAAAATTTGCTACAAACAAACATTTTTAAAGATTCAAGTTATGCCAAGTTCGCTTTAAAAAACTTGTAGATTCCAATCAATTATCCTACAGAGGTGTTAATTATGTTGAGACCAATCAAATTACTAAGCAGCATGACACATTAGGTGAGTCTGCTAAACACCAAGGCACAAATAGAGTTAAAAGCTTATTTGTGCATAGCAGAAGGGCAGGTGGCATGCGCCACAAGTATCAGTAAAAAAATGTGGAAAATAGAATAAGAATGTCAATAGCTGAGTATAGTTAAAGACTTTAAGGTAAGGACAAGCCTCTGGTTGATATATTATAGATATATAACCTAGCAATGGATTACAAGAGCAGTCTGCAACGAACACCCCTATAAAGTCCTGACGCTGCAGAGAGTAGCCCTAAAGTGTAGTAACAGTATTAAAAATCCCAATGTACTTAGAATGGAAAGCGCACAAAAAAAAAATAAAATATCAATCACAAATAATTTCACATTGCATTGATACCTGCCAATAGGAGACAAAATTGGCTAAGGCAGTTACACACTTTCAGGAAGGGAAATAAGAGGTAGAGGGACCTAATCAAGGAAGGTGGAAAGACACCCCAACTCTCATGATCAAATGAAAGAATCATGAAGATAATAGAAAATAAAATTAAAAAAACAACACAAAAGGACTGAACTTTATCTTTACTAACAAGTGACAAAAAAGTGTTTGCTCACTGCCACATCATACTTTGTAAGGTTACAGATAATTACCCTAACAGTGTATTTAATCATTCTCTTCTCACCCTTACCCAACTCCATATACAAACAAGGAATATTGATCTTTCACTCTCCCTACCCTACTAAATTTCTCATTTAAACATACTTATGTTGTTACTTATATTGTTGCACAATCATCTATAGTGAATGGTCATTATGTTTAGGGTGTCTCATCATAACAAATACAAAATGTTATTCTAAGTCAAAAAATTGACCTTATAAACTTATTTGAACAACATTTTATTTTGAAATACAACAGTGCAGTGCCTCTAAAATGATCCTATCATGAAGGTAAAATTGGTACTTGAAAGGCAAGTTCAGTAAGGAATGGTATATGATATTTCAAAATGATTGTTTGCTTGATTAAACACCTTAATCCCATAAGTAGGATCAGCTACATGAACCAACACGAGGACTTTCTAGGAGATCACCCATCCTAGTTTTACTCCCAATCACTGTGGCTCATGTCATGTGATGTGACAAAGTTTCACACTAGTTGTCACAGGCCTACCGTAACCCTTCGCCATAATCAAAATGAGCTTCTTAATATTTTCTCTGCATTCATCCGACATTATTACTAGTTAATCCAGTGTTCATCTTTGTAAATAACATGTCCTTTCCGGCAACAAACGTATGCATAGAAGAACCATATGAATACACCACAATTAGTCAATCACAGCCACATAACAGTAAAACAATTATACATCTGTTCAACATCACATTATTAAAGAGTAAGATAGACATATTACTCTTACCTTAGTAAAAGTCAAACAGTTTGGATGCACAATGGCTACCCATCTCTTCTAATATTAGTCTTTTACAACAATAAAACTGTTTTGATTCCAATCTAACACCTATCAGAGCACTAGTAGCTCCTAGCTCATTGGGTACCATTGGCTATTCAAAACGATCTTCATTAACTTGTCAATCCCAATTTAACATAACAAACATCACCCATGACCCATCAACTCAACCATTTTCAATTACCAATTTTACTATCGTATCGTCTTGTCCATCCCTAAGGCCTCATCGTTATTAATGATATAAGCAGTCCTAAGAGCTAAATACGGAGTATAATAATATTTCAAATAAATAAAAACATTAAACAGTAACCAAACATACAGTACATAACACAAATTACGCGTGATTTTGTCCAAATTCCTAAACCAGTACCAATAACAACACCAATAATTTATTGATGGGCAATTTTCAAAATAATCAAAAATTAAAAGTAAAGTGTAATAATTCATCGAAAGAGAGAGAAAAAGACCTGAAGCAGGAAGTATCAGGGGTGGGAATGTGAGAAAGATCGGAAGTCAAAGAAGGAAGATGCTCACACCATGTTCTTGGCTCCACCCAACCAGAACCACCTCCATATAACAGCAACTCTTCTTCATCTTCGAATTGCTGATTGTTTTATACCCAAAGAAGCATCAAAATTTCAAAACCCAGAAAATAAATCAAGAAATTAAGCATGATTAATTGTTCAAGAGTGAAATTATACCTCTGGAATGGCAGTTGATGATGAAGAACAAGCTTCCCCAGCCATGTTGATGTCGTCTACAACGCTCTCTCTGTAGGAATTTAATTTCAGATTTTACTGCCAAATAAAAGAGTACTTGAAAAAAAAAAAAAACCAATAAAAAAAAAAAAAAGGCCTACACTTGAAAAAAAAAAAAGGCCTATACTATTTGATTACTGTTTAATAAAAAAAATTGATTGGATTAAAAATTAAGGCTTGATTTTCACTAAAAATATTTTTTTTGTTGAATTGAATTATGTTATCTGAAATTAAAATTTTTAATTGATTTAAAATTCAACTCGTGTTTTAGGTGCACACTTGAGTAACCCATGTAATAGTGACGGAGTTAAGCCCCGTTTACTTTTTTTTTTTTTTTTTTTTTCTAATAGAAGCCCCGTTTACTTTACCTTATTTTTGTTAAACTAAAATTATTTTTAATGAAACAAAATCTTATTTGCTAAACTTAAATTATTTTTAATTAACTTAATTTAATTTTACTGAACTAAAATTATTTTTGCTGAACTGAATTATTTTTACTGATTTTCTATTATAATTCTTCTTTAAAAAAAACTGAATTTTACTGAACTAAATTTATTTTTACCGTACTGAAATTATTTTTACTAAATTGAAATTAATTTTATTTAATTGAACTTATTTTTACTAAGCTGAAACTATTTTTACTTAATATTATATTTTTAAGGTGAAGTGAACAGGTCGTTACTCTTAAGAGGGCGTTTGATTTGTTGAGTGATATGAGTTTGGAATCAGGAATGAGCTTAAGGTGGTATCGTTAGAACTTGATACTTAAAAAATGTGTTTGGTTAAATTTTTAGAATGGAATCTCTTCTATTTCTTCCTTTTATTTGATATCTAAGGGAATGGAATGTGTCAAATCCACCTCCTCCAAGGTTTCTAAATCCCATACCTCATGGGTTTGAGGTATGAGTTTAAAATTCATACTTCCTCTGTTTTCTTTTATTTGCATCAGTTTGACCGACACATTTGTCGAGACACAACTTTAACCATTAATATCTCTAATTGTTAATTAGTCAAAATTATATTATGAAACTAGACATTATGACCAATCTAATGATATATTATACAATAACATTTATTTATTTTATAGAGGTGAAAAAATCAAGTCAACCATGATATGTGAATAGTGCAAAAACTAAAGTGATGCTTTTAAAAAAACAAAGGGAGTATTTTTTACAAGCAAACATATAGTATGAATTTTAGTCATTCCAAACTCATCCCTCATACCTATAGTAACTATTATGGACTGAGTAACCTCTATGATACCAACCAAGTAACTCCTATATCACTAACAAAGTAACTTTCATGAGTGGCTAGCTACACCGTGTGGCCAACCACATACTCATATAAAAGTTGAGTTAGACATGTAAAAGGGCCATAACGTCTTTATTTTTTCACCGTGTGAGTACTATCTTCTTTTTTTCACCCTTCGGGTACTTAAGAGAGAATTTCGGCCAAAATTAATTAATTCTCCTAAAGAAGATAGGGTCTTGGGTTGAAAAGATAAGGCCCTTGGTTAACATTTATGACACATAATTAGTGTAACTCCATTGTTGTAGTATAATTAGACTAATTATCCAATGCAACCAATATCATTGGTTTACACTTCATCATTCTAGTTGTATCTTGATTATATTGGATAAACACATTCACTTCAACAATGGTTAACATTTTTTTCATCATTCTAGAATTTTAGCTTCGTTAATAATTAAGCCTGGATCTTTTACCAATATGGCTAATTTACATAAATATTTACCAAAATAGATGTTTATACTTTTAATTTCAAAACTACCTTAATCATTGACTTGGAAGGAAAATTACCGATTTCTTTATTTTCCTATGAACTCATTTGGTTAGTTTTTTTTGGGTATTATTGTAAAAAATAGTTAAAAAGATAAAAGTATATTTGGGTTTGATTTTTTTTTTTTAAATTTTTTTTTATGAAAATTCTTTTATTTATTCATTTATTTATTATACACATTAAACTCGTCAAAATTCAAAACTAGCATAAGTTAACAAAGAGCATATAATTAGCATATGCATGATAACATGAAAAAGACAAAGAATACCTTAAAATCCCTTACCATCGTATGAATTTGTAGTTGTATTTACAGAAAATACTACTTGAATTTACAACTTTTTGTGATATGATCAAGACAAAAGTTTAGAATTTTTTGCGATCTTGAAGTTAGTATTTCTTATTAGCGGTTGTTTACTATACATATACCAACAAATGACTTAAATTTTTTCCAACTTATTTAAAAATACAAAAAATAAAAATTAAAAGATGAACCGTAGCAGTTGAACTAGGCCAAACTGGTTTAAAGGAAAAGAAAGAAATAAATAATTTATATTCCAAGTTAATAATTTAGCTAATTTTGAAATTAAAATTTATAAACAGTTATTTTAATATGTACTTTTATTTAATTTGCGATTTTGGTAAAAGATCCGTAAAAGCATGAAGCCTCTTATCAGTGCTGGGGCTACAATGTCATCACAACATGGGGCCCTATGCAATTCTCAAAATGAGGCCCTCGATTAATACTTTTTCCGTTCTTTTGTGATTTTTAGTTTTAACTCCGTAAAATTTTTACTATTCTGTATAACATAATTTCATAAGTAAAGTTATAGAATGTGTTGTTAAACATGAATTTCAACATTGTGATTAAAAAATAATGGGAGAGTACGTGAATTAAATAACAAATTTTTATTAAACATAAAACTTTGTTACATTATACGAGTAAAAATAAAAGATTAAGTGTTGAAAATGAATTGATAGGAATGAAATCAACTTTGGGAGATAAAGAATTTGGGAGATAAATAAAATGACAATGGACAATGGTAATAAATTTTTTTTTGAGGAGAATAAATTTTTTCTTGGAAATTAGTTTGATGTTAATGAAATATGTGAAAATTGAGGGAAAAAATGGAGATAAAAGAGCAGTTTTGGTTTCCAATGCATGTGTCATGCTAAAAAAATGAAGTTATTGGGATTTAAACTCAAGACCTTATATACAAAGCACCAATCTCTTAACCACTGCTCCAATTTAATTTTCTGGTAACGTAATGAAACTAATTAACCTATATCCAAAATTTAGGGGCCCTGTTCCGTCGACCACCTCGCGCTGGCTCAGAACCGCCACTGATAAGTGTCACAAAGAAAAATGCAAAAGTTGTCAATGATGATGATATATGTTGGGCTTTGTTCGATGCAATGATACACGGGTACACCGCTTGACTGCCGTTTCCCGTACCCGAAACTTATCGGGGACGGGTACGGTACGGGGACGGCTAGGATACGTCCCCAATCCGTCCCTATCAAAAGTGGTACGAGACGTCATTTAGGGGACGGCTAAGGTCATGATCGGAAACATTTCATGTACTAGTAATCCCAATTTCTGCCGTACCCTATGAAGCCCAGCCTAATTTTCAAAAAAAAAAAAAACCCAAATCAAACTTACATGAAAGTCGATTTCCCCCAATTCTCACAAACCCTAAAATTTCGAACTCTCATCTTCTTATTCCAACTATGCGATTTGATTGAAGGCAGCGACCGGAGACCCACCTACGAGGCTGCGACAGTCGACACTGGCGCCAGTAGGTGATTTGGTTCAAGGCGGCACCGGAGACCCACCTTCTTCTTCTGTAAGTGTGTGTCTCTTCTTTCTTTGTTCTGGAGTTGTAATTTTAATTTTCCCCTTTCTTCTATGTTCGATCTGTTTGATACTTGGACTGCTTTGTTTCCTTTTTTTAACTGTTTTTATGTGTTGTTGAAATTATAGTGAATTGTAGTGATGACATTAATTGAGAATGTCAGTAGTGGTTATTTTTTTGACATGACATTGTGCAGTTGAATGGAGTCTCAAAATATTGATATACGGGTAGTGGGTCTGTTAATACAAAATCAACTGAAAATGCAGCTCCATTGTGGAATTATGTTACAAAATTAAACAAAAAGGGGGCTTTGGGTGGAACATGGAGATTTCAATGTAATTTTTGTAATGACATCAAATCAGGAAGCTATTCTAGAGTTTGAGCTCATTTACTTCAGATTAAAAATCAAGGCATTGCAATTTGTAAGAAAGTAACACAAGATGATAAAATTGAAATGCAAAGAGTAGATGATGAGTTTGAAGCTAGAAAAAATGATTCAGGCCCTAGAGAAGTTCCACTTCCCTGTGAATCTACATGGACTACATCTGATGATGGTTTAGCCTCTAAGAAAAGAAAGCCAACAACATCACCTATTGCTAGAGCATTTGGTGTTGAAGCTAGGGACCAATTAAGTCAAGAAATTGCAAGAATGTTTTACACGGGAGGCTTACCATTTAATCTTGCTCGAAATCCACACTATATTCGGTCCTACACTTTTGCTGCTACCCATAATTTAGCTGGTTTTAAACCCCCAAACTATGAACAATTGAGAACAACTTACCTTGTAAATGAGCTAAATAATGTTGAAAGACAACTTTTGCCACTTAAAGCAACTTGGAAAGAAAAAGGTGTGAAAATTGTATGTGATGGGTGGAGTGATCCAACAAGAAAGCCTCTCATTAACTTCATGGCTACTTCTGGATGTGGTCCTATGTTTCTAAAAGTTGTGAATTGCTTTGGTGAAGTGAAGAAATATTTCATTGCTAATCTGATGAAATAAGTCATTCACGAAGTGGGTCACCAAAATGTTGTACAAGTGATAACTGATAATGCAGCAAATTGTAAAGGGGCGGGAGATCAGAGCTTATTGAGATGGAGTTTCCTCACATCTATTGGATGCCATGTGTTGTGCATACTCTTAACCTTGCATTGAAAAATATTTTTGTTGCAAAAAATGTGAGTGGTAATGAAGTAGCATATAATGCTTGTTCTTGGATTGCTAATCTGTATGAGGATGTTGTTCTAATAAAGAACTTTATTATGAATCACAACATGTGGTTATCTATCTTCCAGAAGTTCTCTCCTCTTCGATTTCTTTGTGTCAGAAACTCATTTTGCTTCTTGGGTTGTGATGTTTAAAAGATTATAACTCCTCAGACGAGGTCTTCAAGCAATGGTTATAAGTGATGATTGGTCTTCTTACAAAGAAGATGACCAGGGGAAGGAAGCCAAGTTGAAGGAAGTAATTTTGTTGGATATGTGGTGGGATTCAATAGATTATGTCATTGATTTCACAAATCCTATCTATGACATGATTATATATTGTGACACCGATAAACCATGTCTCCACTTAGTATATGAGATGTGGGATTCTATGATTGAGAAGGTGAAGATTGCAATTTTCAAGTATGAGGAATTACCATTTACGGGCACTAGTAAGTTTTTTGATGTGGTATATAAAATCTTAATTGCTCGGTGAACAAAGAGCAACACTCCTCTTCACTGTCTATCCCACTCTTTGAATCCAAGGTATATGTTCTTACACTTAACTATTTAAGTAAGTAACTATTAAATTTTTGTGATGTAAATATTTCCTATAACTTCCTTTTTTTTGTGTGTTGAAGATTTTACAGCGATGAATGGCTAGTTAAGGACTCTTCTAGAGTTGCTCCTCATACGGATGGTAAAATATCTCGTGAAAGAATGAGGTCGGTGCTTTCGTAGGTTATTTCCTCTTGATGATCTTAGCAAAGCAATGGATGAATACACACTTTGTTCTATGAAAAGTGGGCCTTTTGAGGATCTAACCATCATGTCAAAGATGGCCACTATGGAACCTAAGAGTTGGTGGGAAAATTTTGGTGCAGAAACTTCTCTCCTTCAAACTTTAGCATTTAAGTTACTTAGGCAGCCCACTTCCTCTTCTTGTTGTGAGCGGAATTGGCGTAGCCATGTCGCAAGCTCGACCACATAGCCAGCAGGACAGCAGCTAGAATGTGCAATTTTTGCACCGTCCATCCACCACCAGATATGTTACCTTTAAACGCTACAAAATCACCACCAAATCTCCACACAAAATAGCACTAAGTAGCCACCAAATAGCACCCAAATCGCCACCACCGCATCGCCCCAAGTAGCCACCTAATCGCCAACAGCCCACCACAAAATTGCACCATCAAATTGCACCAAATCCCCACTAAATATCCACCAAATTGCACCCAAATTTCTCCACCAAAATGCACCACCAAATTGCACCTCCAATCGAACATAAAAGATTGAACTCCACCAGATAGAAGCCTTAGATTCAATTGAAAATCGCACTGCCAATTGCAAATTGCAATGAAGATGGCATTTTTAAGTTGGAAGAAAGAAGAAAGAGGAGAGAAAAATATTCAACAACTTTTTTAATTTTCAAAGAGGAGCAAAGTGGAAAAGGCGTAAAAATGGAGAAAGGAGGAATGTCGCATAAAACTATTGGGTGCAAACTGCCCCATCCAATAGTTTGTGGATGGCTTGATACTTGTCATTTTTCCTTTTTATTTTTATTTTTTTAATTTTTATTTTCTAATCTAGCTTGTTTATGGTTGTTTAATTTAAAAAAAAATAATAATAAGAAAAGAAGTATGGAGTTAAATTTCCTTACCTAATTTGTAATGAAGAGATTTGTTAATTACCTTATCTCTAGCGTTGATTAAATTTATAGTACTAAGTAATTGAATATAGATGACACTAGGCATAAGGATCATATAGGTAGTATTTAATGATTTTACACTAATTTGCTTTAAATATTATTTTTAATTTTCCTAAGGTTAACAGTGAGTTAGACATGAGTTAATTGGTCGGATTTTTTTAACATGAGTTAATTGGTCGGATTTTTAGATTGAGTACCCCAAAGGGTGAATAAACGAAGTGAGTACCCAAAAGGGTGAAAAAACAAAGTGAGTACCCAAAGGGTGAAATAATGAAGATTGTTTTGGGGTTTTTTGTGTCCCTTGGGAGAGTTACAACTCACAGACTGGATCCAAGCCGCATGTACCTGCAAAACAATGGAACTTCGGATCTTCGAAGGTCCGCCTCTGATGGTCAAGTTAGAACGAGATCGGAGTAAAAACGTGCAGAAATTTAATATCTTCTCGGATTCCGAGATTAGGTGTTTTCACTATTTTCGAGAATAATAAATGATGTAATGATTGTAAGTGTAGACACCTAATGTCTCCCCAAAACCAAACCCGATGATGAACAACCTTTCACTGCCACTATTAGTCGGGTTCAGTATTTAATCCTGAGAGTGCTTTAAAAAAAATCGTATTTAAATAAATTCAATTTTTGAATAGTTCATGGATTTAGTCGAAGCATAGTTCTTTTTTTTAGTTTAATTTCAGCCCAAACTTTTTTTATTTTATTATTTATTTTGGCCCAAATCTTTTATTTATTTTATTTTATTTTTTTATTTATTTTAGCCCAATTAATAATAGTAAATCAGAAATGGCCCGAAATTATCAATCGACACTTAAAAATGCTGAACGAAATTAGGGTTAAAAATGAATTTAGACAGAAAAACGGACTACGGACCCCCGTGTCACGGAATTTGTCCACCGTGTTATGGGAAATTGCCCCGTCTGACGGTGGGATTCTCCGTGACACGGTGCCCCTGATGTGACACGGGGAATTCCGTGTCCTTTCCGCGTAAACCCTTCACGCGTTTTATTCCCCGTACCCTAAATATTTCCCGCGTCACACAACTGTCCACCGTGTCACGAGGACTTGTCCCGTCTGACGGTGCCAGGAACCGTGTCACGGTGCCCTTTGCCGTGTCGCGGTGCAGTTTTTTAGGGTTTTTATCTTTTTAGGGTTCCGTTTGTTCCCTCTGCACATTTTTTTTTCTATGAATACCCCCTCATTTCTGATGTACGGGGCATCAATTAATACTCTATTTTTTCTCTCCTCTATGATATAGCCTAAACACTAGCCTTACTCTTCTTCTTTCAAAATTCCTTCTTCAAGCACTCCAAGGAGTCCATACTTTACTCATGGTTATGTCCTTAAGCCAAGGCGTGAAAGGTAGAACTGTTTGAGGGTTTGGCCTCAAATCAACTCTATTTAATTTAATTATTGTTTTATTATTATTTCCTTGAATTTACTAACTCGTTCATTATTTTATAGTTGCAAGCAAACATAATCAAAGTAAGAATTATGTTCCTTTTATTTCTATTATTTTTCTAACGATTTTATGTTGTTGGATATATTGTTAAATTGCTTCCAATATTAATTTTTAATTTATTATATTTTATTGATCACCATATTGCATGTTTAAAGGGAATATGTAATTGAAAATCACGCCTAATAAGATAATTTGGACGATCGGTTTAGGTTCCTTTTTAATTTTGTTGTTTAATCAAGTGATCACAAATTTTATAGAATTATATGTTGCATTAATATTAAACCAATTTAGCATAATAATAGTCTGGAGTGAATTGAATATTCTGTTTGTATGCCTTTGAGATCGCAGGAATCATTTTTTTACTATAAGAATCGAGTAGAGGCCAATACGGGCGAATGTGACTCCATGACTCACTTCGTACCATCATCCCCGATCCTCCTTTCGTGGTTCCGAACCATATGGAGTTAGTAATCTCATGGATTATGAATGGGGTATAACCTTCACGGGTCAATCGTTGTTTCCTATCGTTGTCCCTTAATCGTGGTTGCCTTTTTATGATCCGTGAACGGTTTACAAGTTCCTAAAAAACTTGTTGGCGGATCCCTACTTTGCTTTGTCCCTAATCGTTGTCCCTAATCGTAATGTCAATTCCCACTTCCTATGAGTGCCAAGCATATTCACCACATGCTTTTAACGTAGGCGCACTTCAAGCGACGCCTACAATTTGGCGACTCCACTGGGGAGGATTCTTGGTTATTTATCGATTTGAGTGATCGGTATTTAATTAAGATGAGTGGATGAGACTTGAAAGATTCTTGAAAAATATTCCTGTGATTAATTTGGCATTTTTTCATAAGAATAGATGTGGGGAATATTTCAAGCATTATCCCAAATTTGAACCCCACTATGATCATACATTAAAGTATGGTGGCGTCCAAAGGGAAAGAAGATAGAGCAAAAGAGTCGCCAACAAGTTTTAGGAACTTGTAAACCGTTCACAGGGTGAAGGTTACACCCCTTAACGATCCAGGAGATCGTCAACTCCAGTAGGTCTTGAACCATGACTGGTGTTCGGGGATGAAGGTACAAATCCAACCTAAAAGAGATTGAACCTGCCCTAATAATAGGCCTCTACTTTATTTTGATCGTATTCATGTGCACTTTCTGACTAACATGCAATCAATAGGTTAACCTAAACCTGTTTATCTATGTTGGTTGAATTTTAATGCACAAATAAATATATTATTGGCGATCACTTAAATTATAATCACATTAACCCTAAATAAGATTATTAAATTATCTTATTAAGCGTGATTACAAGTACCAAATTCCCTTTAAACATGCATAAAATGTGTGATCAAGCAATAACAATAAATATAATCAAAATAAATAAAAATCATAATCATAATCATCATCATAATAGTTATAACCATAACAATCATACTTAAAAATAATCATCATAACAATAATTATAACAATTATAATGATAAATCATATAAATAATCATAATAATGTTAAAGCATAATAATAGCAAAATTCTAGGCATGATACTAACACGATTAATAACAAACCCTAGCATGTCACTAAACAACAAAGATCAAAGCTTTAACCCTAACATGATACTAACGATCATAAATATTAGGAAGAACATAAAAGGCATCATACTTTTAATCATACTTAATATTAAAGTTACCCTATACATGATACTAGGAATCAAAATAACAATCTAAGCATGATTTCTACATCATAACATCAATAAAAACCATTAAAGTACTTACTTGGATGCCTCGTACCTCTTTCTAATAACAAAATACACACGTTAGTAACTTCAAGGAAAATAATAATTAAAACAATTAAATTAAATAATTGAAATAAAGATTTGGGACCAAACCCTCAGAAATTAAAACCTTTCACGTCTAGGGCGAAGGCAACTTCGAATTTGGCTAGGTGTATCTAAGTCTAATGAATGTGGAATTTTTATATTTGTTAAAAAGCTAGTTTAGAAAAGAGAGAGAGAGAGAGAGAGAGAGAGAGAGAGAGAGAGAGAGTAATCAAGAAAATCTTGATGAGAGTTGGTGAATGAATAGAGAGAATTGGAGAATTGATGATATTTTTATGATTTAAAGCGGAGTTTTAAGAACGCTATTTATAAAGAAAATCAACCAAAAAGATAAAAAAATTAGAACAGAGTTCTAACGCAGATAAAACTTGATTAGCGCCGACGCCGGCAATTGGCGCCAGACGCTAACATTAGCACCAGGCGCCAGGCTTAGCGCCAGGCGCTAATATCTGGCGTTAGGCGCTAATCCCATTTTTAACGAGTTTTCTAAAACCAGATAGAATTTAACCGTACAGGAGGATAAAATCGTATTTTCCTCAAAAACATTCTTTTATTCTGATTAAAACTCTTAAAAGTCAACAAAAGTCAATTTATCAATGCTAATTGAATTGGGAATGAAAAGAACCTTCTAGAAGAATCTAGAAGACTAAAACCATTCCTAATTGCATTAGGAATGATAAATCCATGTTAGGCCCTCCTCTAGATCATTGGGCCGCATATAAGGCTCAAACCGGGCCTAGTTCAGTAAATTGGCCATAACTTCCTCAATATTCATCGGAATTGGGCTTATAATATGTCGTCGAAAAGCTCTTTTCAAGCCCTATCCAACTACACTATTATTGGACCCATATCATGGACCAACCGAACTATATTGGCTGTTTTCTTAAAATAGGTTTTCAGAAACAGAGAGAAGAGAAAAGAAATTAAAACTATCCGCAACACTAAACTTTCCACACTTTCACTTCATTTGATTATGATTCGACGTGAAAGATACTCATCACTGGGTTTGGTTTTGGGGAGACACAAATGGGTGTCTACAATAGACGTTCTAACGTCGCATTTAGGTATGTCCCGTAGGAAATATTGAATAACTTGATTGCGTACGAAGGAAAACAGGGCACCAGTCAGATTTTCTGACTGCCGTGCTACGGCAGAATCTGCCGTGTCATGGTGCAGTCCACCGTCTGACGGTGGGTTGCACTGTGGCACGGTGCTATCTTCCGTGTCACGACAGTCCTAAAATCAGTCCGGTGGCTTATTTTCTCTTCTCACAGTCAACTTCCTTCGATTTTTATGAAAAAACGCATGTGTTCTACATGCGTCTTAGCCCCGAGGGATTTAAGCTCTATCAACCCAAAAACGCCATGGCAATAAGGGTTCATCCGAGTTATTAAATCCACCCAAACCATGGAGTCGAGTTCGATTTCATCATGAACTCGCGGAGCCGCCCGTTGGCATACACCCTCAAGGGAGGACGCCTTGCTAACGAGTCCAAACTTTTAACCATGGTGCTCTGCTGACACCCAAAGCTTGACCAATAGTTGAACATAGATCTTGACCTTAGGTTGCGAACTATTTTACTTCATCGTGACTAAATGCTACATGATTTATTTGGTGCTAACCCTCATGTGTTTGCTCTTTTTGTTTAACCCATGACCGAGGGTTTTTATTTCCACA